AAAAATATCTCGGTATGCTTAACTCAAATTTTAAAATTTTCATTTTTATTATACCCTAGTATGAATTTACTAATAAAAATAACATATTAAATTTTAAAATAAAAAATATTTTTTTTTTCTCATAGCACACCCTAATTAATTATACATGTTCTTTTTATTTAAATCTCTCTATCTTCTTCTCTAAGTTTTAATTCTCATCTTCTTTTTCACTTCAAAATTTTAGTCTGTCCCATCAAAACTCACCATTATTATAAATATAAGTATATAGATATTTTAATTTTGTCTTTTTGGTGATTGTCATGTGGTGGATTCATATCGGAAATACTTAAGTAACTGGAAAAATAACATTTGGCAAAATGCCAATATAGGGAGTAAACCTAGCCCAATTTACTTTTTCAAGAAAAACCGACCAAGAAAAAGGGCTAATGCAACACACACACACACACACACAACAACATCCATTAAATATTTTTGTCTTTGCATCGACACTCCACTTCAAAGCATATATATTTATGAAAATAAGGTGACAACAATTATTGTATCAACTTCATTAAATCCGTTAATACCTACCACCATTTATTGAATTAGGATGACACCTTTTTAATCATTTATTTATTTTTGTTGATCACACAACACATCATGATCTGACAACCATGGTGAATCATCTACGCAATGAAAGCTGGCCAACTTATCAATTCACAAAATAAACTCGTAAACACAAAATCAATCACATGACACTATACACTTGCATGTAGAATGGTGATTGCATGCTTTGAGACATAAGTATTGAGATGTTAAGTTTTTATTCTTTTCGGGATTAGTTATTTGGACGAAAACACATGGAATTGGTAGGACAAAATTTTTAAGTCTAGACAAATCGTATCTAGTGTCAGGACTGTGAGTTCGAATCTCCGCCTATCACTACAGGAATATCTGTCTTGGAGGCGTATTTTTAACGGCGTTTTTTAAAATACCACTGTTCGTAATATTTAACTCGCATTTTTCTCTAATTAAAACGGCGCTATTTCAAGAATCGAAGACATTTTTAAGCACCTTGGAATGGTTTTTGTCCAACACCTTCCATCTCTCCTGTTTCACCTTTATTTTGAATCTGATAAGCAAGTATAAGCGAAAATCTCACTCTCGCGCTCTTTCTCTCTCTCTCTCTCTCTCTTTCTCTCGCCCTCTCTGCGCTATCTAAGATCTTTCAAAATCGAAGTCAGAGCCATTTCGAAGATCTTACATCGGTGATTCATCAGAGCCATTTCGAAGTTCTCTCTCAAAATCGATTTAGATCGGTGAGCTACTCTCTCTCTCTCCCCCCTCTCTCTTTCTCTCTCTCTCTGTGCTGTCTAAACCCTAGTTATCTCTGTCAGTTCAGCTCTGTGATTCAGAGATTCAGCTCGGTCTTAGCGAAACAGATCAGTGATTCATTAGAGCCATTTCAAAGTTCTCTCTCGAAATCGAAATCGAATTTCATCTCAGCGATTCAGATCGGTGAGCTCCATTGTCTCTGTCTCTCTCTGTCTCTCTCAAGTTGAACTAATATTGTGCTTGATTTGTGTATGTCATAACCAAAAATATGGTGTGCCTAACAATTTCTTCTTGATGATGTCGGTTTTGACTATAATATCACTTATTTGTTAGATTGAAGTATATTGCTCACAGTTCACTTGAAATACTTGATTTATAGCTTGCTCTGCAGCCTTTGATTTCAATTTTACTCACAATTCACATGAATTTGTTGTTGCTTTGATTTTACAAGCTGATTTATAGTGGGCAATTTTGGAAATCTAACAAAATTAGTATCTCAAAATAGAAAGTGGAAGCATACATGAGATTAGAGGGGAAAACATTGCATAATAAATATTTGTTATGAAGAGAAATTAACAAAAAGAACCATATAAAAGTCAAATGTGAAACTAGTGTTCAGGAAAGTAGCCTAATTACAACCATATCAAATAAAATCGCAGAATCTTCTAGTAGAAAAATTTGGAAATAGGAGGTTCAGCTAATATTCTGATAATAAAAATAAAAGATCATCGTGCTAGAATACAACACAATCTGTCACTTCATTTTGTATTTTAACAGTTGTAGCTAATTTAATGATTCACTAGCGGCCTCATGACTACCAATATCAAATCTCCCAAAAACACACTTTTTGATATTTAATTTTCCGATTCACCCTGGTAGGGGACCAAGTTTGTAAGATCAGCATTTATCAGTGATGATGTGACAAAGGTTTCTAGTTGCCAGCTGCTATAGGAAGGCATGAATGCTCAAAACAGGGAAAAAAGAATTAAGCACAGACAAATCATATAGGTTCTAAATTTTACAATAGCGGGGTTTGAAGCAATGTTTAAAATTTCAACAGCATTTTGGCGCCTTCTTAACCAAAAACCAAGCCTGATTGAACTTCCATTCCAAGACCCAGGTTTAATTATATGATCTATTAATTTACACTGTGTTTGGACCATTGATTTGGATCTATCAATTGCTTTGTTAAATTTGGGGTGTGGGTGTCTTCATAATGAAAATTTATGCACCAGGTATTTACCTATGGGAAATTCTGCCTGATGTGAATTGTATATTTATTTCTTAATTTACTTGGGTTAAATTTGGGGTGTGGGTGTCTTCACAATGAAAATTTATGCACCAGTTATTTACCTATGGGAAATTCTGTATGATGTGAATTGTATATTTATTTCTTAATTTACTTGGGTTAAATTTGGGGTGTGGGTGTCTTCACAATGAAAATTTATGCACCAGTTATTTACCTATGGGAAATTCTGTATGATGTGAATTGTATATTTATTTCTTAATTTACTTGGGTTAAATTTGGGGTGTGGGTGTCTTCACAATGAAAATTTATGCACCAGTTATTTACCTATGGGAAATTCTGTATGATGTGAATTGTATATTTATTTCTTAATTTACTTGGGTTAAATTTGGGGTGTGGGTGTCTTCACAATGAAAATTTATGCACCAGTTATTTACCTATGGGAAATTCTGTATGATGTGAATTGTATATTTATTTCTTAATTTACTTGGGTTAAATTTGGGGTGTGGGTGTCTTCACAATGAAAATTTATGCACCAGTTATTTACCTATGGGAAATTCTGTATGATGTGAATTGTATATTTATTTCTTAATTTACTTGGGTTAAATTTGGGGTGTGGGTGTCTTCACAATGAAAATTTATGCACCAGTTATTTACCTATGGGAAATTCTGTATGATGTGAATTGTATATTTATTTCTTAATTTACTTGGGTTAAATTTGGGGTGTGGGTGTCTTCACAATGAAAATTTATGCACCAGTTATTTACCTATGGGAAATTCTGTATGATGTGAATTGTATATTTATTTCTTAATTTACTTGGGTTAAATTTGGGGTGTGGGTGTCTTCACAATGAAAATTTATGCATGATGTGAATTGTATATTTATATGTACATTCAATTGAATTATAATATTTCCTTTAATTTGGATACCAATTAAATGATTATTTCTTGGTGTTTTACATCCATTTATAATGTATTTTTTGTAATAGTTTTTAGTAGTGAATTAAACTTAAGAATTAATTTTTTAATAAAAAGATTATTACATTTCACTTTCATCATAATGAATCAAACAATACTCTTGTTTTATCAATCAAAACATTAAAATAAATATTCTAATTGAAAAATCATTCTATTCTGATTTTCATTATTGTAATATTTGCCAATGAGAGTGGAGTTGGACACAAGAATAAAAATTAGGAAAATTTACAAATTAGTGGTAAGAAGTAGAAAGCAAGAAAGCCAACATTTGACTACATACCTCTGTGTATAGATTGAAAGCATTGCTAGACCAAACAACTAAAACCAATTTTAAGTGACCTTAACTGAAGAAAATTCATATTTGATATTCAAGTGCGAAAGCACTGGAGATGTCTTGGATTTTTAAAAAATATATTTTTTTAATATTGGATCCAACTGACTTCCTTTTTTTAGTGTTTTTTTTTTTTTTTTTTTTTTTTTTTGAGAATAGTTCAATTAGAAAAAGAAGAAGAATAGTTTGATAAATTTTCCATAGACATGGAATGCTAACATCAAAACAGAGGTAAACTCATGGGAGGGTTTTGATAGATAGCCTATATATACATATATATATATATATATATATGTTTCTTTTGAAACAAAGTTTTGTTATGAACAAACCATTCATGTTAGATGATGGGAAGATTCAAAAATATATTTGCAAGAGGGAGAATCTGTTTTCTTATCTAAACGTGGAGAGCACAGAGTAAAATCAAGAGAGAGCACTATAGGTCCCAAATACGGTTGCAACCGAACTACGTTGTTCATGAATGACTTGATCTCAGCTCGTTTATAGCTCATTTGATTGTGTAGTTTGCGACTCATACAATTGTGTATTTGACTCATGATCAAGCATAAAATTAGGCTCGTTTATCAAAAAAGTTGAGCTCAATTCTGTCGTTCACTCTCTCTTTCTCAAAATATCTTTCTTCACTCTAAATTTGTCTCACAATATATGTATATGGGTAGTTTGTCCGTCTTTATGGCAAAGAGGTTCTCTTCATCTGTTTCTCTAGATTTTTCTAGGTTTCCCTATTGATTTTTCTTTTCAAGATAAAGCTTGGTTCGTTTATATATCGAGTTATGTCAACCAAGCTGGAGCTCATCAAACACCAAAAGACCTGAGTTAATCTCAACTAATTTTCAACAAGCCGAGCTTGAACACTCCAAAGCTTAACTTGGCTTGGCTCATTTGTAACCATAGTCCCAATACTTTCGAGCAAATTTGTTAAATGCTTACTTGATGCTGTGGGAGGTATCTCATGCAAGATAAAATATAGTTTGCAACTTTAGGCAACTCTTGCACTGTTTGATTGTCAATGATAAAAATATGACAAGGCAGCGGAAGTGAGAAATCATGATATCAAGGCAAGCCAATATCAGAACCCCAACTTTTATACGTTGCTAACCTTTTTTTTAGAAATAATAAAGTTCTCAAATTTCTCATGATAAAAATGTGCTCAAATTTGTGCTATTGTGAAATAGGGAAAAGTGAGGGAAAACACAAGGCAAGCTGTTGCCAGTTACCTTACTTTGAAGAGAGGTAAGTAGGATCAGTTATGAAATTTTATTATTTTTGTTATCTGATGGAAAAGTGCATTATTTGCTTTTCTTGTTTTGGACAATTGTAGAGACTAAAGATTTGAAGGTCTATGTTGATGACTCGAGGAGCATGTGTCAGGGCAAAGGAAATACTGATGGCCGGTATGCGACGCTTAGTTTAATTTCCTCCCATTGTTTTCTGATTTTATTTATTTATTCATTGCTATGAAAATTTTGATTTATCTTTTATTGTTTTTGTTAGGATAACTGCAAAGAACCCTCTGCCACCTATAAGGAAAACATGATTTTTGGATTTTGGATGTATTATTTTGTGTGTAATTTTGATTGGATATTAATTGAATGAGAAATTGAATTAATGCTTCGTTAGTTATTTGAATGGGAGTTATTATTTTATATGTTAGTTTTATTACAGGTATTTTTTTTAATTCAATCAAATAAAATTAGCATAATTTCAAAAAAAAAAAAAGGGGGATATAACGGCATTTCTACAAATGCCTCCTAAACCCTAAATACCAACGGTCAAATTTTTTAAAACAGATACGACGGCGTTTCAAAAACGTCGCAAAATATCGTTGGTGACGTCAGCGCATGTATGGTAGGATATTTGATGGCGTTTTTTAAAACGTCTCCTATACTAATATCACGGTGTTTTTAAAACGTCACAAAGCTACAGCGACGGCCTCATCTTCAACGTTTGGTACTAAACGCCACAAAAGGAATTAGCGGCGTTTTTGATAGATATAGCAGCGTTTTTTAAACGCCACTAAAAGTTCAATTTCCAGCAGTGTATGTGTGAGTTCGTCACTTACCATTATATGATTGAGTGACCCTACTATATAGCACTACTTAAAAATAACCTTTGAAATTTTGACTCTTTAGAATTTAGTCTCAGAATCATCTCACTGCGAGTAGATTTTTTTTCCACATGCACGTGGACCCACAACTACGTGCAAAAAAATTCATAATTTTTTTTCTGTGTCTTAGGTCTCGTTTGGCATGTTATAGTTTTAGCTTAAAAGATAAAAAAGTTACTAAAAAAAATCAAAAAGCCTATAACCTATACCAAAAAGTCAAAAATTTTCTTTTCTCTCTACTTTTTGAAAAAAGTCAAAAAGTCATTCCAAGCATACTAATTTTTTTAGCTCATATTTTAACTAAAAATTCAAAAAATTACTAAAATAACATGTTCCTAAATGAGGCCTTAGTACAATTGTGAACTCGACATAACAATTCTGAGAAGTTGTTCTTGCCTTGTGTCATGGACTGGGCACTTGTCATCCTCCCGAGAAGCCAGCTCCACAAGCGATACTGCATACCTCCGTGCATTATGCCGAAGGACCAACCCAGGAGATGTGATAAGGATCTACCCTACTTGTCTTACTGCTCACAAACTAATGTGCTTGCAAGGTGCTTGGTATAGAACTCACATCCCTAATGAGTTGGTATATGACATGCTACCGCCGCCAGTCCTTGGCCCCCTCGTCAGGGGGACATTACCCTACTTGCCTCCCTCCATGCTTGTCTGTTCCATTACCCATGGGAACTCGCCTCATGCAGACACCACCCTTGGTGTGGACCCCACAATGAAGGTGCTTGGTGTAAGTCCCACGTACCGTCCCCATCACAGTATCCCTAGGCTGGCTCTCATACCACTATCATGGCCTTGGTTTTTCCAAGCCAACTGTGTGGCCTTAGATGCTTGTAGCACGCCTTGCTTGCACCTAAGTAAGCCTTTTTGGAAGAGAGCTAGGAGAAGGTTGCACATACAAGAGAAAGCTTGGAGAAAGTTAGAGAGAGAGCTCTTGGAGAATGCTTGCTTGTATTACTTTGGAATACTTTGGATTGCTTTCGGTGGTTTGGGCAAATGAGGGCCTTCCCTTTTTATAGGCTGCAAGGAATACTCTAGAACTACAATGATGGAGAGTGTTCTAAACACTTCCTCTAACTCTATCTTATAGACTATTCTAGAATCATTCTAGAATGTACATATCTGGAAGGATCTACAAATATTTACAACTATGTACAAGTCTCTGCAAAACTCTAGGGAGTTTTAGAAGCTTCCAGCATTCTCCATAACCTCCAAATGCTTTCTAGTGAGGAACAACATCCAAATTTGTTAGTCTGTGACACTTGGCTCTGGACTCGATAAGCATTTCAGTGTCGAGTAACATCCTTGATAGTATCATCAGAGAGAAACCTCTTAGCCCACGCCACCAGATGTTGCGTCATGGTTTCATACATGAGAATTATAACTAAAAATAAAAAATAATCTTTGAATCATAATTAAATAATATTATCACTAACAATTTAATAGATCATAATTAAAGATATAAAAATTAGGGTAAATTACAAATAAATCACTTGAGATTCGATTAAAATACGAATTGTCCCTTGTGATTCTAAAAATTACATTCCATCTCAGGAGGTTTCTAATTTCATAACAAATCACCCATTTTATTAATAAATCATTAAGTCAATTAACAATTTTTAATAATGTTAGAAATATGTTTCAATTAATAATTTAGGTAATTTTATTATTGTATAGGAGAACAATTATAAATTTCATTTTTAGTTAATTCTGTTAAATAAAAAATTCTAACAAGGGGGTATTTGTAATTTTTCAAGCCACGGGAAGCAATCTGTACTTTAAACAAATCTCAAGGATATAATTATAATTTATCCAAATTATAACTAAATGTGCATATAATACACACATTTCAAAGGGTCAAAGAAGGTGTGTTCCAAAAAAATTTCTATTTAAATAACAGACAAATATAATTATTCTATCCAACGCGGTCACGTGTCCCTTGACTTTTCAATTTTTTATTTTTTTAATGTATTAGCTTATGGTTGAAAAATTAGAATTTTGAGACGTATTTTTTTTTTATTTTTTTAATGTATTAGCTTATGGTTGAAAAATTAGAATTTTGAGACGTATTTTTTTTTTATTTTTTTAATGTATTAGCTTATGGTTGAAAAATTAGAATTTTGAGACGTATTTTTTTTTTATTTTTTTAATGTATTAGCTTACGATTGAAAATTTAGAATTTTGAGGGGCCATTAATGACCTAACACTCCTACCATGTTAAGGTATTCAATTCAAAATCATTTGACAATGAGTAGAGAGACTCTTACATTATATTAACTAAGCTTAGGTGGCTTAGATTGGGCGATGTGAGATTATATTCAACAATCTTACCATTTTGTTCATGAAAAAAAGTTGAAATTGTAAAGTGCTTTCTCTATTTTAATTTTCTGACTCCACCACTAATTCTACCATTATTAATTAGAAAAGAGCATCATTAAAAAATAAAAAAAATATATATGAATTCAATAAATTAGATTGAATACTTAGGCATTTTTGAGGGGTTGTGATAGTTAAACCCATATTTAGACAATGAACTACAATAAAAGTTGGGATAAAAAAAACTCAATCAGAGTCCCTGACTGAATTAGAGGAGCCTTGACCAACATCACAATTTTACAACACAATTGTACTACCCATAAATAGGATTGCTTGTAGATTGAGTTGGGTCGAATGACCTTCCATTCACCATCCATCCGAACTTAGACAAATTAAGAAAAATCAATCCTCATTTGTTTCGCTCAGAATATCGAAACAACTTATTTTGTGAAAGATCGATTTAGACCATTCAATTTTGATAGATCAAATGGAAACATACTCAGCTTTGCTCATAAACATCTAAGGAGTGGTGGCCAGCATCACAATCTTGCCAAAAAAATCATACCAAAAAATTCATGTAAGTTTTAATATGACATGAATGAAAAATTTTATTTAGTAAATTCCATAGCAATGAACTGTAACTTTGACATGCTAACCTTTCAATACTCAGAAAACTTCATAGGCGTTTAATTAACGGCATTTTTTTAAACGTCACTTTTTCTGATAATTAACGACGTTTTGTAAACGTCGCCGTTTGTTAATTAAAATGGTCTCGTTTCTTTATAGAGGTCATTTGAAAACGCCTCCAAATCCTTATTTCCAAACCCCCTCCCTATCTCTCTTCAAACCCCTATTTCTAAACCCTATACAAAGTCGATCTATTCTCACATCTCCAAGGTGACTCTCTCTCTCTCTCTCTCTCTCTCTCTCTCTCTCTCTCTCTTTCTCTCTCTCTCACGCCTCTGCCCTCCTCCAGCTCTCTCTCTCGCCTTTGTCTCCATCGGCGTCGAGTACGGGAGCATCACCGCCATCGCACACGAGCATCATCGCCATCACGCCTCTGCCCTCCTCCAGCTCTCTCTCTCTCTCTCTCTCTCTCTCTCTACTCGTTGTGAGCACACACCCTTCTACAATTCTAAAAAATCTATTGAATCCTTCAAACCTTCTTCAGCTCGGTGATTCCAGTTGTGCTGTTTGTCTTTGTGGATTTGGAAAACTCCGTCTTCTTCGATCAGTGAGATTAGAGGTTAGTTGAGCTCAATTTTAGGAACATTTGAAACTTGTTTCTTTCTTAGATGTTTCTTCTGTTGCTCTGTTTGTGAAGATTTAGTGGAGTATATATTAATGTTTCTTTTGTGCTCTGTTTGTGAATAGCTGTTTGTTTATTTGCTTAAATTGTGTGGATTTCATACCAAAGTGTTGTTTCGTGGATGCGATGATAGACTAGTTAGACTGTAGCGATATTCATTAATAATGAACTTGTAAATCTAAATATAGTTTTTTACTCATTGAGTTGGTTTAAGTTTCTTCATAATAGATTAGGATTTGTTAAAGTAACAGAAAAGGAAATGGAGTGAAATTACATGTACTTGATCATTTTTTAGAAGTACCTAAAAAATATTGAATATGTTAAAACACCATAATCTGAAGAAAAATATTTTAATATTGAAATTTAAAAAAAAAGAAAAAAAAAGGAGAAACAGAAGAGCCCATGTCTTACCATTGAGCTGCTTCCAAGTGGTGAAAATGAGAGAAATTAATACCTACTTTGCTTTTTGTCTCATTCTTTTTCTGCTGGTTAGTTCTTTGTCAAGAGAAAAAAATAAATTAATAATGAAGATAGTACAAATAGTCCAGCTGGCCAAGGAATAATAAGGGTTACCAGTCTACTGGTTACCAAATGCCAAATAACTTAATTTAATTTGGGTTCTCGCCTATATATACAGAGAATGCTCATATACAAAGAATTCATCATGGTTTAGTAGTTGTCTGTAACATGTATGGGGTCCAATTATTAGTTTTCATGGTGTGTTAAATATTGAAAATGTTTAGTTTTGATGCTTTTAATTTTAGTGCATATACTACCAAAACAT